TTTCACAATTTCATTATCGATTCTTTGGTCGAGGTGTTTACCGTTTAAAAGCATGATGATAAAAGGACTTAGCAGAATTATAGGAATTTGTACGCGTGTATTGTTCTATTGAAATATATGTAACTAGTATGAACTATAAATTTGACTTAACTAACGTTAGAATTTAAATAACAAATATTATTTGGAGAAATATTGGCATAGATATAAGTGTAATTATATATCTCTTTTGAAATAAATCAAAATAATTTTCAAACGATCTAAATATTCGTAGAAGAAACGTTATCTTAGCAGTAGTTACCCTGTATCTAACCTCGAAAGAGTCCGGATGTATGAGTAGCCGGAGAGGTCAGGCGAAGGGTCACGAAATCGCTCTCCCGTATAAGCTCGTGAGTTTAAGGAGGTCGAGTGGACCTCTCCATGCTTCCACCTTCTACGACCACCAACGTAACCACTGTCTCCTTATATACCGAACCATTTTCCCAACCTCCTATCCCTTCCTCTCCTCATTCTCCACCCCATTTCCCGTTACTGCATTTTCCTTCCTTTCTATCTCAATAACTGATATGCGAAATAACATAAGTATAACCTTCGCAAAAGTGGATATGCATTCTTATCCATTTTATCATCCACCAAAAATCTTTTAGTAACAATAAAATATGCGAAAATAATTTATTAATAATTAATATAATAAATAAAGGAAGTAAAACACACCACCAGTTGTTTTTTATATTATGATTACAATTAATTATTGCATTTATTTAGTCATAGTCGAATTTTCTATTATACATGATATAAGGCCTATGTAATTAAGTAGTTTTAATCCAAATATTTTTTCTTGATGAAGTCTGCGCATCTTTCTCCGATCATATTGATCGCAGCAACGGGATTACCAGAAACGACCTGTAATATGTCAAAAAAAGATTATTTCGAAGTTAGGGGATAATACCTAACCTGTCAATTAAAATCCTTACTTGTGGCATAATTGATGCATCAGCTACTCTCAATCCTTCAATACCATGAACTTTTAATTTAGGATCAACAACAGCCATTGGATCACTTCTAGGACCCATTTTACAACTTCCGGCTTGATGATTCTCCGGTCTCGTATTCCATTGTATTTCACACATCCAATAATCATCGCTGTCGTATTCATATTTGGAACATGGTTCTGATATCTGTTTAATCAGTTTTAATTGTCGTTTCTGCATTACGGTAGTATTAGCAATAGCTTGAATGACACGAATTCCAGCAACAAGGATCGCCTTATCTTCAAAATGTTCTAATTCGTTACTACGAATATAGGGAAGACTTTCCGGTTTGTTATTCCTTAACCTTATGTATCCTGAAATAATGGTGATAGAAAAGTAATATCCGAAAATAAAAAGTGAAAAAATTCAAATTTACCTCTGCTCCTAGATTGAATATTTACAGATGTCATTCTGATAGTTTGTTGGTTATTGGTCACTTGTAAATCAGCGATCACTTGTTTGCTAGTACAGGTAGCTTGGAATCCAGCAAAGAATAATTGAATGTCAGGATCATCTTCGGTAGTAAATTGTGAAGGAATTATAGCAGTTACTTGAGCCAGACCGGTTGATGATAACGGTCCGGTTTGATTGTACAAATATAGATCGGCAGAATCAACGTTCAATTCATCTTTTGGTGGTTGACCTAAATTAAAATCTAGGCCATAAGAAACGTGATTGTGTAGATTTTCTCCGACTCCTGGTAAATCGTGAACCACGGGAACTTTGACAGACTTCAAGTGGTCTTTTGGACCAATTCCAGAATCAAGTAAGATTTTCGGCGAGTTTATTGCTCCCCCTGATAATATTATTTCGCGTCTTGCCTTAACCGTATAAGTTATTTTATTCTAAAAAGGAAGAAATGTAATTATTATCATTATCGCGTTAGATTATTTACATTTCCGTATCGTTTCTTCGTAAAGTATGACATTTGTAAACAGTAAAAGTTTTAATGAACCTCGCAATAATAATATTTCCAAGAATAAAAAGAAACTATTGTGCTATTTTGATAAGGCTTTCTTTTTTTTTTAACATTTCCAAAGGAAAATTCTTTCTGTAATAATTAGTAATGTATTAGCGATAAATAAAAAAGTCATGAATATAAAATAAAATAATAAATAAAAATATTTACATGCCGTATTAATTTCCGTTCTTTTTTTTGCACCAATAAATATAATAGTATGATAAATTCTTTTTTCTTACCTTAACATATTTCACGGCGTAAGCTTTCTTACTCCTTGTAAGTACTGTAGTGACAGTTGCGTTCAAAAGAACATGAAGATTCTTTTTATTTCTATATGGCCTGAGATATGCAGCAGCGGTACTTTGTCTCACACCATCCTTGCTCAAAGTTTGAGCCACCGTGAATCCTGTTATTTTTTCGCCTACCAAATCTTCGCTCACTCCGTATTTTGTTTCTTTGGCTGCGCTGAGAATGTCCCAAGCGAATTGTGGTTGCCATGGGAACCTAATCGAACCATTTTTCATTTAATATACGAATTTATACGCTCATATATATTGTTATTTATAGAAGTTATATTACATTTTTAACACGTTGAATGCTACAGTGATCACTGGCCACCGACATTAACTTTGTTCCTGGCACTGTATGAATCTATGGTGACCGGCGTTTCTATATTGTTTTATACATAATCTTAAGAATCTTAAAATAACATACGACATACTCTACGACATAAAATATCAAACTGGCGTAGCATTCAAGGTATTAATAAAAAAGGTAGAAATTAAAAAAAATAATATAAACCTCTCAACTGTCATGACGCCACCGGTACCATGATATTTCTCACTAACTCTACCAATTTCTCGATTGTCCTCAGACATTAAGAAATACGGTAAAACCTGCGATCATTGGATTAGAAAAATCAAATCTTAATGACCCACAGCGCGTTAGAAAATTTTGTAAAATCATTAAATTCTTTTATATGTAATTGTTACCTCGTTCCAGGACCAGCCAGTAGAACCCATTTTTACCCAACGTTCGTAATCTTTAGCATGTCCCCGATGATAGGCCATACCATGATGAGCGGTACAACCACCCATATTCTTACCTCTTGGCCAATTACAACTTCTATTATTAGCTAAGCAAGCATATGGCTCGTCTGACGTTTTGTAATTCCAATCCATCGAAGTTCCTAGAAAACACAAAACGCTTCGGTTTTTCCTCAAACATTTCAATTTGGACAATTATATGTATTTAGGAAAGTACATAAAAAATATGTATTACCGAGATAAGCTTGAAGATAACTTGGAATTTCTGCGCCAGCTGGCTCATCGTCTCCAGCTTCTATCAAAAGTACCTTCCAGTCGGGATTTTCACTCAATCGTGCTGCCACTACTGGCCCAGCTGCTCCAGCTGGAATCGATTAATACTCACATTTTAAATTGATATATTTATAAATATACAATTAATCGACCTCTCAATATTTCTTCCACCTTACCTCCTACAACAATAAAATCATAATTTATATCAGGTCTTTTCACAGGTTTGACTCGTCCACAGGGATCGCCTATTTTAGGATGATAAGTTACTAAAGTACTTAGCAACGGAAGGAATAATGCTAAATGATTGGTAACGCAGACGTCAGGCATCGTAAGTCCTCCCAAAAATGGTTGAGAGCAATTAGGGGTGTCCACCCCCAAACTTGACAACGACTAAAATCGTAAAAACATATCAAACATAATTATATATGGTTTTCCTTAATTTATCAATAGATAATTTTACCTGTTATTACCTCGATAATCATTTTATTCAAATCCTAATTAAAAGATTGAATTGATTCGGAGAAGAAGCTTTTATATGAAATCTTTGTCGTCCGTTGTCACGTAGACAGAATTTCGCGCTAACCAACGAATATAAGCCAGAACAAGGTATGTACAATATGGCAATGTCAATTTTAAATGGCATTATTAAAATAATTGCTTTAAATTATTTCCTCGTGATAAGTAAATGTATACAGTAAATATATGAATATCTTGATTATTTCCAAAGATACTTTTAAGAAAACATTTAAAGAAAAACATTGAACAGTTAAATGGGATTCACACGGTGCTAAAAATATTTTTGTTTTTAGATCATATTTTGTTGAAGATACCATATATTATAATTACACTCTGAAGGAAAAAAACAGTATAAAAAGCAATAACAGCCAATAGCGTAAGAAATTCGACAGCTATCGAAAATTTATTAACGATATATGCGCTGATCAGAATGTCAAAAATATGTCCCGCATGTAATGTATTTAATAATTATGTAATATTTATGTGTTATGTATAATTAAGTGTCATGTAAGAAAATAACAACGCGGAGAATCGAATAATATTGAATATCAAAAGTCATAGGAATTAATAAGAAAATCGTAGTGAACAAAGACGTACCATTTTGAATTGGTTGATTTTTCCTGCCGGATTTACTTAAAAGACGTGTTGCAACGAACTCTTGTCGACTACACAAGATTACCGTGTGTTCCTTACTTATATAGCTGTAATTTCAGCTGATATATTCACCGAAACGTTCGTATGTGATTATACGATGTTATATATTATACTACGTATGTATTATCAGGACATACGAATAGAATAATCACTTTTGGTGCTGTTTCTCTGAAGTACTTAACACAAGGGACTTTCCGCGTTTTAAATCACTTACATATACGATACATCACTAATGAACTCTGGTTGTTTTAGGATTCCATTGATCATAATTGACGTTATATATCTCAATAAACACAAGAATTAGTCGATTTTGCACATGAGCCATAAAGTTTTGAAATACGAATAAATAATGAAACCTTAGAGTTGGTAATAACAAAAGCATTAATTATCAGGCAAAAAATGATTATATTGAAAGAATCGATGCATAATTCCAATATAGCACCATTACACTTTTATTTACATTCTTTTTCGATTATCTACACTTTGACACGAAATTTCCCGATAATCAATATTTTTTCTTCCGTCTAATAATTTTTTATTTATTCTACATACTTAGTTTTACATTATTATTTCCTTAGTTCCCGGAATCTTTGGTTCTGATAATGGCAATCGCCAAGGAATTTCAAACTTCCGCTACGTCGATATTAATATGTAAATTATCTTATTAGATAGCGATATTATATAATGTGGACTAAGCAAATATAATCTGCTTACGTGACAATTTAACGGATGAAATTACACAAAGAATCCGAAAAAGAAAAAAAAAAAAAGAAAAACAATAAAGACAATTACGCGTCTTTGCAAATAAACATTGTTACAGACGTATAATTCATCGTTTATCTTTTGATTCTTGGAGAATATTTAATTGGTAAACAAATGGGAGCGGCCGTTCTTGAACGAATCATTAGTCAAGATAATAAGTTTTGAGGCCCCGATGTCGAAGTATGTCATAAAACGGCAAAGAAATAATTTTTCAAACTAATTTTTGTTATGTTAGTAGTTACACCCGGATAAAACCGAACGCAAATGAATTAGTTTTGTAAATTTCTTGTCAGCTTGTCAGTGGTAAGAGACATCGTTGTATCTTTTCGAATTGATAGTGCATTAGTGTTTCATTTGTACCGACTGATTGGTATATATATATATATATTAGGTGTAGTATCTACGTAGCCATAAGAAAGGAAGAAAGAAAATAAGATGGTTTCACGGCAGTTCGCTGCGGGCATCCCGCTGGATCCGTTTCGTCTTTTTCGTAGCTTCGCATTGGCGCATCGACGTCGCATAGCATTCAGAAAGTCGATGTTTCATGGACTAGAAGTCGTGCCGGGAATGCGAGATTACTACTACCAAATAGCCTGGTCCCAGTCGATGTATTTGATCCCCCATAGTAAGTATTCCAGTGAACTGTCGATCGTCGAATGAGAACTAGGAAACATTGTAAATTGCTGATGACTAATGGCCTTTCCATTGGAAGTTTTTCCTAAAGGTTGTAGCTTTCCCGTACCATTGTGTTGCGCCAGCACCCCAGTCGGATTTAATGAACGCTGCCGCTCTCTCGCCGATCATAACTGCTGGAGCACCAGTGTTACCGGAAGTTACCTTCATACAATATGATAATGATAATTAATAAGATTCATTTTTGAAAAATAATTTAGAAATAATATATACAATCATAATTTTTGAATATATGAGTAATAATTCACCTGTGGCATTATGGATGTGTCGGCTACTCGTAGATTTTTGATACCGTAAACTCTAAGTTGTGAATCCACTACAGCCATTGGATCGGTCGGTGGTCCCATCTTGCAAGATCCTGCTTGATGATTTTCGGGACCTGTATCTTGATGAACCGCACAATTCCAGTATTCATTACTGAGAAATTTATGTTGAGAACACGCAGATAATGGTTTGTTACTGAGACTCATATTATATTTTCCCATTGAGGACGTATTAGCGAAAGATAATGCGATTTGAATGCCTTCAACCAGAACAGCGGCATCGATTGGATCGCTCAGATAGTTTCCCCAAATAAGCGGCTTTTCAAATGGATTATTATTAGCTAATCGAAGAATTCCTGAAAATATATAAATGGAATATTATGGTAAAAATGACTCGAGTCGCGATCGATTAAACAATAATTACAATTTCTCTATGTTTACGATACAAATAATTATTTAATAAAATATCAAATTTAAGTATGAAGATCATCACCTCGACTACGTGGATGAATATTTGTCGGAGATATACTAATACTACGGCCTTGATTGTCCATAAGTGCTCCTATTTCACCAGTAATTGAACAAGCTGCTTGATATCCACCAAAATAAAACTGAAGATCGGGTTCATCCGGAGCAGTATGACTCGACGATACAAATCCTGTAATTTGGGACATACCGGTCGAGGACATTGGTCCTTTATGGAAAGCAACATATTCTAGGAGAGAGGCCCAATTTAAATCAAATACGTTTGGTTGATTAATAGTCCAAGAGACAGTATACGACACGTGATTCTGTAAGTTGTGTCCGACACCTGGTAAATCTTTAACGAGGGAGACATTTACGGCTTGTAAATGTTCTTTCGGACCAATTCCGGATAACAATAATAATTGAGGAGAATTTACTGCACCACCTGAGACAATGATTTCACGAGAAGCACGTGCAATGCGAAATTCCCCATTCTGAAACGAAGATCAATTTTTATCAAAATAATTATTTAAATGATAGCCTTTGCGAAAAATAAACAATTTTTACTTGAAAATATTGGACTCCAACAGCCTTGTAATTTTCAACGATTATTTTGGTGGCAGTAGCGTTTAGGGCAATATGAAGATTACGTCGATTGCGTATTGGACGTAAAAAAGCTGAAGCGCTGCTCACTCTAACCCCATCCCTGCTAGCCATTTGAGCTACAGTGAAACCCATGTAACTAGCTCCATTATGATCCTCTGTAATCGAATATCCTCTCTCTCTGGCTGCATTCAAAATATCTCGAGTAATTTCGGGTTTCCAAGGAAATCTTTCGATAGTCCATAGACCACCGGAGGAATGGTATTCGTTACCAACTCGATCAATTTCCGTATTATTTTCCGAGCACATAAAGTATGGCAGAACCTGATGAAAATATGAGAAAGTGTATCATGAGTGCGTTGAGCATCATGATGATTATTGTTACGTGGATTATTTTCGCACGCTTCCCCTTAACATTGTCGATTATGAAACGATTCTCTATTTTCATGTTAAATATTCATAGAGTTCACTATACTTTATTGTTCTTTGTTGTTCTTTCTTTACGAGCTTATAAATATAGCCATGTGAAAAATATAAGTCTCGGACAATTTAACGTTGATCTCAAGATTTTTCTTTGTTCGTTTCCTTAATCCAAGATTCCTAGACGTACTTTCAAATATTACTTCAAGATTTTATTGTATTATTTTTTTATTTTTTATCAAAAAATAAGCCACGCGAAATGATATATCGTTATCGTTAGAAAGAAAAATACCCATTTAGCATGGTAATTCGTTACGATGATTTCATTTCTTTCGCATACCGAAAGAATAAATAAATAAATTAGTTTCCCACTCTAATTAAAATAACATGAAATGTCTTTAAATCTCCATGTGATAAATTAGTATTCATTCAAATTACCTGTCTACATTTTAATCATTTTACTCTTCAACAAATTAATTTTAAATCGATCAAAATTGTTTTACGGTTATAATAAATATTATTTATAGATATGCATATATAGATATACCTCTTGCCAAGACCATCCACTATTTCCAAGGGCAGCCCAATTATCATAATCCTTGGGTTGTCCACGAGTATACATCATACCGTTATGCACCGAAGTTCCACCTAGATTTTTACCACGTGGCCAACTGCATGACCCACCACTGGATAAACAAGCGTTTTTCTCGTTGGAAGTTCTATATTGCCAATCAATGTCGCTACCTATCAATAGAAATAAATAATTATTAATTAATTTCAAGTATTAAATGTAATTAAATATAGACTAGCATATGCGAGCAATAAAAAGAAACTTGTCGAGCAGGTTCGCAGAAATATACAACCCCGTCAATTGATAAGTTTCAATATTTACATTACATTTGCGGATTGTAATTTTTTCTGTTGTTATCAGAACTACTTTATAAATATGCAGTCTTTCACTTCTAAATATCTAGCCACGTTACCGAGTTAATTAAGATTTCCTGGTGAAACTTACCGAGAAACATCGCTACCATACTGGGAACGTCAGCGCCTGGTGGCTCATCAGGACCTGCTTCGAGAAGTAAAACTTTCCACTCGGGTATGTCGCTCAATCTAGAAGCCACTACAGCACCAGCCGATCCACCTAATAGAAAAAATAATCAGAAATTAAGTCGATTTACTTTTGGAAAAATATTCTATAAGTCATTGCACTTTCCGAACGAAGAAATTAATATTTCTGTTCTCACAATGGCACACAAAAGATAACATAGAACGTTGCATCTAAAATCACTTATAGTATATCAATCATATTTGATCTATCAATAAATAATGTCAGAATGTTTAATAAAATACGTTGGTATTATTTACTTATATAAATATAAAGTATCACAAAGGTGTTTGCAATTTAATATGAAACAATCTAATGTATCGAATAATACATATCCTTTCATTCGTTTATAAACGTTATATATTTCGCTTCTATTGACCTATTATATTCGTCGATATTTCGAACGTTATCAGAAGTAATTGACGCGCGCGTTCTTGCATTCCTACGCGTTAAAAGTTATACAAAGATGATTTAATGTGCGCGCGTATAATCGTAATTAGCAATATCGAGTTGCTCGAATGTGAAAAAATGTTTATTTAGAGTCTATTGGAAAGTGAATCTTTAAGACCTTGACCATGGTAATACCGCAGGTACTATATCAGATGAGTGCATATGCATCTCGAAACATTATTTTCTTCCTATGTACACTTACTAGGTTTATATTTCGAATTCTAAATCATTTAGAAACATTACGTGGAACGGTTTATTCGGACAAAGATAAATTGAAATAATTAATGACGAATACATCAAAGGAACGTCTATCCGAATATTCAGTTTCTATCTCACTTTGTCTATCTCCCTCCTATCCTCTTTGCCCCCCAGTTTCCGACTAAGAGAAGATAATTATATGGACAGAAGGAAAGGCCAAGCAGAGGTTCGTTTTCAGAGTGTTGAATTCTCTACGATTAACCCGTGCGTCGTATGCTATCGCACCTTTGTGCGCACCTTCAAAACGAAATGTTAATTTAAGCTCAGCAAACCAGTCGTTGAACTCTCCAGTTCCATCAAAAAATCGGAACGATTGTCTAATACTTTCGAAGTTTGTAAATTACCCCCTTCTGGTTATCAGCGACGTCCTAGTTTCCATTCGACTAACGAACCGTTACTAACGTTACCAACGCACAATTTATACGAAAACGTGTACGTTATCGTAAGCAAATAAAATACTCTCTCACTTATAATCCCAAACATTTATTCTCGTTTAATAAAAGAATTAGTCATATTTCTTTTCCCTTGATTATTTTTTCTTTTCGTAACATTGCGAGCAAGAAAATAAGGATTATCTACTCATGTCCACCTGTCTGCGGACACGTTTGCGTGCACATAGAAGTTGTTTGCAGTAATTAATCGTTCAACTGACCCTGATGTCTTTTCGAGGCCGACTGAGTACGGCACGTATTCAGACATAGAGAAAGAGAGAGAGGGAAAGAGAGAAAGGGAGAGAAAGGGGAGAGCGAGTGAAAGACAGACAGGCAAACACAGACGTAAATAGAACGAGAAAATAAGAGAGAAAGAGATGGAGTAAGAACCTGAAAGGGAAACTTACACCAGCTACCGTCATTATACTTTTACGTTACTTCATTTAGTTTCTGTCGAACCGATCGAAACCGGTGCTAGACTTCGTTTCGCTTTCGGACGTAATAGTGCGGAAAATGAAGCGCGTCTCTATCGTTCCACCTATTTGCTCGTATCGTTTTCTTCTCCGCGTGTCCGATCTTAAGTGTCTTATATTAGAGGACATAATCAATAGAAATAAGAAAGAAATAGATATTTAATATTGGCCCAATTGGCCTTCGTTTATTCCTGAGACAATAGAAGAACCGATCGTAGGAAGAGAATCGTTGTTATTGGCCTTGCCAGTTTCAACAACTTTCCCGCTTTCTCTTCCTTTTTAAGGACAAAAAGGGAAAACTGTTACTTTTTTATTTTTATCATGCAAAATCAATCTATCTCTAATGTTTTTCTAATAAGGATTATTATGGATGCAGGTTCGCTTCAATATCGTTCAATCGGAATCGGAATGAATTATACAAGGCTAATGGACGGTTATCGAAATGTGAACTAAATACAAGTTAATTGTATTTAAATGTATTTAAATATATTTAAATAGATTTAAAAATGATATTTTAACGAACACTTTTACCGTCTATTCTATAAATATTTTCAAATACTCTAATTCCTATTTAAAAGAACTTTTACTTATATTTATCTTATTTTATGTCCCTCATTTTCGATTGTGGAATATATTATGCACATTCTAAATATAGCTATATTTCAATAATTATAACCGAGTATTTGTTATATTGCAGGCAAATAGTGCATCGTAGTTTCATTTCGACGACAGGACAATTTGTTTAATTGGTCGTCAAATTCAGGATTAATATGCATTTAGACGAAAAACGTGAATTTGAATAAATACGATTGACATTTCGATCGTAGGAAAATTTGTTTTTTTTTTCTTTTTCTTCTTCTTCTTAGTTCTTCACGCACGTGTACGTTCCTTTCAAATGAAAGATCGTGGATCGTGTACGTGATATACGAACCGAAACGTCCGTCCATCGTTCCACTCTGGCAAATTTTTAATTCTTATGGCGATAAGGCTGGACGCACGCTCTCGTTTTCTTTCTCTTGCTCGAGATTTCTTCTTCCTTTGAAAACACTCTCTTTCTCTCTCTCTCTCTCTCTCTCTGTCTCTCTCTCTCTCTCTCTCTCTTTCTTTCTTTTTTTCTTTCTTTGGCACCGTTCATAATCGGTGTTTAATACGAATGTATGAGAAGCCGAATCGAGGAAGCATAAGACCACTAAGTGAAAACGGTTCGTGCCGTGCCGGCAAAAACCGGAGACTTGCATAACTAAAGTACGAGTCGAATGAGCTGATGGTTATGTACACTTGCTGAAAGGTACTATTCGACATTCTACTACGTCGTCCGACATAAACGTTCCTGCGTGCATGCGAATGCATGCATGTATGCATCCTCGGATCTTGTTCTTCTCCTTTTTTTCTTCTTTTACCTTAACCATCTTTGATCATCGTGTCGATCACACTTGGTGATTTTTTGTGTAACTTGTTTACACACCTTTACGTGTCACTTATCAATCGATTCGATATATATATATATTTGTTAACATCTAGTTAGCTAGATCTTTTTTTTTTTCTCTTAAAATGGATTTTTTGTGAAAAATATCTTGATACAACATTTCACTCATTTTGTCGACTTACGTTCGATCAATATAATATACTGTTTACCGTCGTGGTTGTTTGTGTATGTATTCATATTAACGATTCCGATCCTTGGTCAAGGTTCTCCACTTCTTGCGTGTCCTTGTAAGGCTAGAGAAAATGCGAGAGGGAAATTATAATATAACGGATCAAAGATACGTCGGAAGATAAGAATCATTACTTTTTCTAATAACTCGATACGTGATATTATGCGTTCAAAACTGTCTATTCAATAATTTCAATATTAAGAAATAACAGGTATATATTATTTTCTTATAACGGAATCATATATTGTATTATAATTCGCGATAATGTATACACATTTCTTCGTAGGATTTCTCGTTTATTCACGAATCGAATGTAATATATACGTAAAGTCTATAATGAAAAGTGAATATTTCAGAGATATTTGACTATCCATGAAAACTCTATTAGTTATCAAGTACCGATCGAACACATTCATACTTATCATATCTCTTTCTCTTCTTTCGTTTGATCCCATGTTAAAATGTAAATTGCAGTGAGTATGTAAAATTCTGTGGGTTGTTTAAATTATGTTCTAGCAACAGCTCTCTTCCTCTCCTCCCTCTGATTTTCCATTGATGAATCGAACGGATCCACCAATCGATATCCTAGTTTACGCAAAGTCCCTTTCAATCCCGTTTCCCTCAGCTAAACCTTCTCTGTTAGATCGAATGGCACGTCTACATCGGCGCATCGTGCGCGTTTTCCTACCTTCGAGAATTTATATCTGTCGACCAACAGTGCACGAGCCAATAATGGCATCGCGTCGCCCCTATCATGGCACGCAGTTTATACAGGCCTGACCATTCTGTTCGATCGAATCGGGCGATTCAGAGTACGGGAGGATTGAAAGAAGGTGAGAAATGAGGAGAGAAGAGGTAGAGCGGAGGAGAGGTCCCCATTTCGATAACAACGAGTCAGAAATTAACGACCTAATAATCACCCCGTTCTACTAAATAAATATCAGTATACATATATTAATATCCAGTATGGCCAAACGCAAATCGAGAAACAAAAAGAGAAAGAGAGATGCAGAAGGAAATGGAATGAAAAGAGAAATATACGAAATGAGAATTAAAATAAAAAAGGAAAAATAAAAAAGGAAAGCTATTGTTAAAAGTTCCGGTTAATAAACACAGTATTTCGACACTATAGCATAATAATAATCGTGTTATCGCTAACACTGATGCAGCTCCATTCGACATTATTCCCTTTGATTCTTTAAACATGATAAAAATATAACGGAAGTGGAAGGATTAAATATGAACGAGGAAGAGACATTTTTTAGATCTGAAACAAATTGTTAAATCAACTAACACGTATAACGTTGAGGATAACATTTATAGATGACTTGTAATCGTTCAAAAATATCTTTATCGAAGTCATTCATTTTATTCTTTGTCTTTTACCGTTTATCTCAGTTTGTCTACTTCACTCTTTTTCACTCGTATTTCGATATTAAATATTAAACTTTTATTTAATTGTAAACATTTGTAATAGAGAACATTATTTCTGAAATTGTTTTTTAATATAAAAGTACAAATTATTCGAGAATTTCTTTAAATCAAAGAGATAGATGGACGAGAGATAGTTTGGTATCGCTCGTGGAAACTACGATTAAATTCATTTGAGCGAAAAATCAAGAAATACAAGATGATACTTCCTAAAACGTATTCAGTAACTATTGTAAAAGGAAACTTAACATTGGTATGAGAGGGGAAAAAAAATTGTGGTAGCTTCGCTAGTTTCTCGGACGATTGATCTTAATTGCTCATCAAATGTATCGCGTCTTTTACTTTCTCCTCCAATTAGAACACATATCCGTAATCACTAATAAAGTATACAATACCACGAGACTACTTTCGTATTTTGATTATTTTTCTTATATAGTTCGAGTTGATTACACCAACCGATTTGGCGAGTTTTACGAATACTGGTAATTCTAGAGAAAAGAAAAGCAAGACGATCTATGCGTTCGTAATTTAGAAACGATAGCAATCTGACGGACGAACGATGGTGATAATTAAGGTCGGTCGATAACATCTTCCGCAAGCTGCGTTCGTTCTCTCTCTCTCTCTCTCTTTTTATCTTTCCCTCTCATTCGCCCCTTATTGCATTTTTTATTCATATTCGCAAGATAGTCTCACGATAATCTAGATTAACATAGAACGTTAAACTCAAATCGCACGTGTTCGTTCCCTACGTTATTGGATAATAAAAATCAAAATAGGAAGTGAAGAAAATGAATTATAATCATCAACTTGACGAAGAAGCGACTGCTCGAGTCCCACAGATGATTGTCTGGCATTGAATTATGCACTGGTTTTACATTGCAATTGTAATTTTCTTCTATTTTCTATTTCTTTACTCTTCACTTCATCAGTAACACGATAATGTCGATGAAGGTTGTAAACAGATCGAATTAGTACCTACTTGCATTTTGCGAAACGTTAATAATTATCCATGAAATATGCTAATTTTAGTTACTTTTTTTTATGGAAAATCTAGTACCTATTTGAAATCGTTTTAAAGTCGACTTAAAAGAGAGATCGTTTGTAATTTGATAGAGACTGTTGAGATAGACGTCCTTCATGCTACGAACCGTAGCAAATGAACATTTTGTCCTCTCGAAGTGTCGTAAAAATGATTGCAATTTAAAAGATTAGGACAACGTTCTATTTCGAGTGTAATGTTCACGGACACATTTTTTATTAGCTAGCTTACTTTATTTTTTTACATTAGATTGCCGGAGCGAGTCTATTTGACTCATTTACGATTTTATTGCTATACATTTAGAAAAACTTAAGTAAGTTTTTTAAAAACATATGTTGTTTTTTAATGAAATTATGAAATATGTTCACCAATACTAATTCCTTCCGCTCCCCACTCCTTAATTAGAAAAATCTTTACGTTCTATACCTATTTTGAAGGATGTGAGTCTAATTGGCTTATTTTTTAAATTAGTCATTTTACACGTATCAAACATTATGATCATTAAGCCGAAAATACTTTCATGCCTCTGTCTATTAAAATAAAATTACAAATCGTTCGAATTGTCAAGTTCAAGTATCATGAAAAAGAAATAGAAGTAAGGGCTTCTGTATATTAAATGTAATAAAGAATTTAATTTTTTTTTGTAAACTTCAATTTTGATGTTTAAATCAAATTGACTCATTTCAGGCAAAATAGATATATACCTAACATCCGGCAATCTATATTTAAGTATTGCTTGTACTTTTCGATCTCGTCTTGTATGAAATCGTTTCGATTTTTTGCTTATTATAAAAAGTAACAATTAGTCTACGATTCCTACATTATTTCAAGAAAAAATTAATGTTCCTTAATGATAAATTCAAGTTGTCAATTCGATCGTCAATTATAATTAATAATAAATTGCGTAAACTTATTCCTGTATAATATATAGTTGTTTTGTAACAGTAACATAATTGTATAACACAGTAACAGTAAAATGATTTAATAAAGGAGAAAGAAAAACTTAAAAAGGAACACGTAGACTTATTAGATTGTAAAGGAAGTAGATATATCGTTGATGAAAGACAAAAAAAAAGAGAAAAATGATAAAAAATTCATGCACAAGTAGAAACGGAACTATATTTCGTTAATTCTACCATAAATATTGGCATAACTGGGTAAACGGCCTCAATCGAGAACTTTTTATTAACTTTAGTAAGCGGTAGAACGAGATACACTTCATCATATAATAGTATTTTTTGTCCTTTCTTTTTAATATAAGTAATTTATACTCACCGCCAACGACAATAAAGTCGTAGAAATATTCAGGTGAATCAATTGGTTTGACCCTCTCGCATAGAAACGAAATATCTTGTTTGGCACGTATGAATGTATCCACGAGCGTCATGAACATCAAAAATTGAGAACCCGGACAACTTTGGCCGAGAGTCGGCCCGAGGAATGGCTCCGAGCATTCTACTGTTATCGATAGGTTGTATGACATGCTGCAAATAGAAAATCAAATAATATATTACAACATATAAATACGTGACAACACACGTGTGAGTATGTTCTAATCTTTTTTCTTTTTTTTTTTTCTTTTTATTGTATTTTATTTCCTATATCATCTCGATAGAAAAAGATATTTAAAATCATTATTAGCGTTACCACCTGACAAAACAAGGATTGGACTTTAAACTTTACAGTTTCGTTGCAAAAGAAGAAGAGCATCGATGTTCTATATAAAGAGTTCTATAAAAGAGTAGTCATTTGCAGGGCACATTCTAAATCGATCGACAGGTGGATATTTCAGTATTTGGGTTTCGTGCAATCTTTCGTTTTTTTACTTCTTTCTAATGTCCATATCCGTGCCTGACAATTCGAGTCATGGCCATATAAAATGCAACTCAACCAGAATAACGCGAAACCAAAGATTTTCTCATAAAAAAACGATTTTTTAACACTGCGTCCAAATATTTTATCTTCTTACGAGAGAACTAACAAAATTACATCAAATTTTGTATTTATTGTTATTACAAAAAGATAGAAATAATGTACAAATGAATTGCAATGCTACATGTATAAGTTCTTTTTTTTTTTTATAATCCACACCATCCCCCATAGACAATCCTTCTCTTGAAATTATTATATTTTAATCTGGTTTATAGAGAGAGATAAAATATTATATGGGTTATTCGTTACGTTATATGTGACACGTGTTAAACTAAAATAACAATCGAAATGTATTGCTTAATTATCAAAAATAAGCAGTAACTTTTGTGAACGTTAATCAAATTACCGTATATATCACTGATTTAATTAAATTTATATAAGATAAATTGCAGGATCATCTATCGGATCAAAAAAATTAAAAAAAAAAAGCGAAAAATATTACGTGTTATTTTATAAGATATCGAAAATTAAAACTCATCGAACGCAAATTAAATTGTACGACCTTATCAAACTGTATTATTATTTCATTTGCAGTTATCTGATAATATTATCTATCATGCAAATCTATTATTTTATAAAAAATTTAATTATATTCGAATAGTACTTTATTGAAAGTACGCAGTATTTGTTAAAAATAAGTATTAATAGTAAGCAAAACGTAATTTGTAAGAAAACCAGGAAAAGATTTACCGACAATCACGATGATAAATCGAATTTTCTTCTATGAGATAATTGAAAATTTGTTCTTTACTTAGGATAATACAATAACATCGGCGAATCAATTAACAAAACAAAATAAGTTTGTACGTTGATAAGAATATAATTGAAAAATGAAGTTGTTTCCTTTGATGATTTAATCGTTAATTTAAAGATAAATTTAATAACATTTAATTAAATATAAATACGCGCTTATACGTGGAAACAAAAAATGTGTTTTTATTCAACAATAAGATTAAAATTCATTCCTTTGTAATATGACTTTCACTATTGATTTTTTATATATATATTCATACGAGAAATTAATTTAAATGAACGACACTTACACAGATCTTTAATCGGAAAATAATACCAAAGTGGAATGTCACACGATATTAAAGACAACCGACTCGTGACACTTGTTAATATCGCGTGGACTATAAATCGATTCAAGCTAAGAACGGTAAACGCACTAGACGTTAACTGTAGAACCTCTCACCACAGAACGCCACTTTATATTCGTCTCCCACTTCGTTGTTTAATTCCCCGGCAAAGGCGTCAAACGAAAATAATAACGATTGATCATAGTGATTAATCTATCATTAATATTGTATCATGTTAATGTGAAAATTTATTTACATTTAAAGACATTGTTCAAAGTCATTGTTGCTAAAACATTATTCGTTTTGTTAAAATATTTCGTTTAAATAATTATAATAATTTACACGGAAGTGATTGTAAGTCAACTGACTCATTAACAAACCTATTATTTTTCTACACATAAGATAATAAATTCATTAGTAAAAGCAAACATTTTTTCAATATTGTTTCTTAATACAAACACATAGAGAGAAACACACTTATCTTACTTACACGAAATCGAAAATATTTAATTCAAATTTCGAATATGCGATAACAAAACAATATCTTTCCTTGTTTTCTTTTCTTTCTAATTTATAATAATATATTTTAAATACAACATTTTTTAAGTAGCTTAAAGTTTTCCGATAAGTGGCAATTATCTCTCAATGTCAACTTTTAACTGTCATTTTTCATTCGTTTCCCTTATTCAAATGCAATTTCGCTTAATTGTAAGCAATGAATTTAGTGTTTACCTATAGATGCATGTTAGCAATGTTCATAGGTGTATAACATAAATAGATAGATATAGATAAATGTATGCGTGTTCGTGGGTGTGTTTGTGTGTGCGTGCACGCAATGGACCACGTACGAACGAATCTCGTACATCCTTATAGGTACGTTAACGCGCATCCTTATACGCTTGCGATTTACGTGGATGGCGTTTCGCATATCAACGACGCATAACACGGTATAATTACGAAAATGGCTATTATCGAAAATTAGTATTGCTATTTCCAGTTAAACAAGGATAATTATTATTATTACATCACGATTATCGTTAACGATCGTACCATTCTATTTCCTGTCCCCTCTTTATTCCGCCTCTTGCACGCCTACTTGTGAAAATTTGACATGTTCCCTGTTAAATCGATATATCCGACAATTTCGATATTATTAAGATTGAATATTCTAGGGTATTTCGCGGCATTCAATCGAATGATAATCACTGTCGTTGTTTACGTGCGTTTCAGGATCGTTGTACTCACTCTCTCTTTCTTTCTTTTTTCTCTTTTTTTCTTTCTCTCTCTCTCTCTCTCTCTCTCTCTCTCTCTCTCTCTCTTGCTCTCTATCATTTTCTCTTTCTTTTTTTGTGCTTTTCTACTTTCTAATTCATATCTAATCCGGAAAATATTTGCTATCATGATTTATAAGGTTTTAGTATGTAAATCAATGGACATCATTATGATAGATACACGTTTGGAATTGTCTATTATCTGTTAAGCCATATCTTACTTACAATTATATTCTTCCTGAGCTGAATTTTTATAAAGAAAAATATCAGTTAACATGAATATTTAAGATGTGAGTTTATAAATATATACATAAGGAAATAAGAGCAAAAAGATAACGTAAGATACAGAAAAGAGAAATTTGATCGTATTGAATTGAAGTCACCCACACTATATTTTATTTTCTGTATGCAACTGTATGTATAAGCGATGGTTCTACATATTTATTTAATGATACGTTACACTCAACAAATTATAACTCGTTTATCTCTAAAGTTATCCGTAATTTCTAACGAAACCACAATTTCTAATTTTCTATTTGCATTCAATTCGACGTATTAGATGAAATGTTTATATTTTTTTCGTGAATTATACTACTTTCCTTCTTTGGTTCTAATGCTTGAATTCACATCTCCAATATTTTGTTAGAGTCAATGTTTTGTAGAAAATATATGAAAGGACAGGTTCGAAAGTTGGTGAGGATAAAAGTGTGATTGCGTAACGTTCTCTCTTTTCTTCTCTCTCTCTCTCTTCTCTTTTATCGTCTCTCTAACGATTTCGAAGAAACCTTGAAATTTTGTATCACGCGTTCCTTGTGGCAAGTGAGCATTGTTCGAGCCCACGTTGCGTATAGTCGTTGGAACAAAAATCATATTTCGCGGGAAACGTTGCAATGCTCGACAATGGAACTTCCGGCTTTTTTCCGGTTGTCAGGAGTGCCGTACCGTGCTGGCAAAGGTCTTCAATAAATTCTGGCTTATACGTCTGGCAACGAGAGAAACAGTAGCAGTGCTTCTACTATTACTATATGCGCCTGCGTTAAGTCAAAATACACGAGGGTGTACCGTAAAAGAAAGAGAAAACGACTAAGAGAAAGGGAGAAACAAAGAAAGAGATGCGGAAGGTTTTTAAAAGAAGGGGAAAGCAACGAAAAAAGAAAAAGAAAAACTGTGCCACTTTCATTACTGTCACTGTTATAATCGTTGACTACGATATTACTCTTAATAGAATTTATTCTATTAAATAAAGTGCTGAGTAATGAGATGATGTAAATGATTCATTAAAATATCATCAAACAAACGTTTATTATTAAAGTTAGATTCGAGAAACATTACGTACCTAATAAAATAATATTACTACGATTTAATGCAAAATAATTTTAAGAAAATACCTTATCTCAACACGATGTAGAGATACATTTTTTAAATTTATGGAGAATTTGAAATATATTATTATAAATATATATATATATATATATATATATTTGAGAGAAAATATATATTTAACGATCAAAATAAAATTGAACATCTTCCGTCTTTCGTTTTACGCATAATTGAAGTCCGATATCGTAGTAAGTGTAAGATTAAAATTAAACACATACAAGAGTATTATCTTATGAAATTATTCTCATTATTTTTAAGTTATACTTTTTAATTTCTGATTATAATCGTAAAGTTCTTTTATCGAAAGCGTTTACCGATAACAGCGGCACATGGTGAAAATACAGAAACTCGAAAGAAGTTATTACTATCATCGCAAGGTAGTAAGTAAAGTTTCTCTTTTAACGTGTAATACACCGTAGAAAAAGTTAAAGCATGCTGCCGAAAGATGCTAATTAAAGGATCAAAATAGCTTCGCGAACTTCCTCTTTAATGTTCATCATAATTTTTATCGAATCGATAAAATCATTTCCGTGTAATACTCTTTTATAATTTTTAATTACCTGAACTCTTTTTCGCATCTCATTTGCACAATGTATTTTATTTACGTGAGTACTTTTGTTCGTTCAATTATTAATGCCAAGAAAGGAAGAAAAAAATTAACAAGTAAATATTGAAAATTATAAAGAAAACTTGGAAAGATTAAATGACAGAATCTGAATGAAAAAAAAAAAACAAAAAAAAAAAACAAAAAATTAAAATTAAAGTGATTTGATAACAGAAATCCGATGCATTTAAATGAGAAAACAGAATAATAAGATAGCTG